AAAAAAATTGTCCCTTTCTCTACGAAATCCCGTTATGAAAAGCTGAAATAGTTTCTCACATTGCGGCTAATTCACAACATTAATATGAAACTATAAATGCTGCTAATTCGCCTTTTCGTCAGCTAATAACATCTTAAAAAACTTGGCTGTAACGTGAAATACACAAACCTCTCAACGAGCACTAAAGGCATTCCTCACGAAAGCGTTCACTGACCTAATGTTTTTTCACCCCCCGCCACGTTAGTAAAACAGGCAATTTACGCGAGCCTATAAGTAACAAGATTCATTAAGGCTGTTACAAAGTGGCGCGGCCGTTCTTAAAGCGAATGGCCCTCGAGCTTGCAGCGTTCATAATGGTCGTACGAGCCGGCCGAAGCGCCGCGCGCAATTTAATGAAACACCTGGAGAGGTCGCGCCTGCTTCCGTTGCATTAATCTCGCACCCGTGCGCCCCGCGACCCAAACAGAACTACCCTACTACCGTTACCACTACATTCATTTGCTAATTATATTCACAATGTGGTTTGCATACGTAACCTTTATGATAGTTTCGAGCCCTAAGCTTCTAAATATCCGTTTAAAAGTGGCCAACTAATATTAAAGCCGGGATAAACAAGGAGTGACCGTGCGGCGGGCGCTCGCCGGCGGCAACGGCAAAAGTGGCTGAGATAACTCCGTGCACGAATGCATATTTTAACGTTAAGCTACGGCACCGCCATGCAAACTTGTTGGGAACTTCACTGGACTGAATAATTCTTACTTTAAGGCTTTCACGAAGTTTTTTTCGTCGAGGGAGGACTCCTCGACGTACACCTACATATAACCACAATAATTAAGTAAGCATGAAAACTAATTACATTAACTCACTATTAGCTCTAGCTCGGAGTTTTCTTAGTAAAAAAAGAAGAACAAGATTAAAAAAGAAAGTTGTAGGTAAACACCAACAAAATCAGTTTTTCAGAGGCCGCGTCAAGTAAACGTAAATAACAAAAAGTTTGTTGCTAAATTATCTTCCCTAAATAACTTTCTGGGTGGTGGCTTTAATTCTTACCCCGTTAAGTAAGAGAATCTATAAATAGCATAAGTCGTCTTAGGCTGCTGTCTAACTAATAAAACAGATAATAACAAATTATACCGATACGAATAACTGATGTCTTTATTGCCAGAATGTGCAACCAATGTGTGGTGCTTCATTATACTGACATTGGAATTGCGTACTTTAGAGACCTGTGTCAATATTGATGTGTGATTATTTGAAGTCAATTAGATAGTAGCTAATTATTTCGTCTGGTAGGCGTGTTCGACATTACGTCAGCAATAAGCGCGGCGGGCGGCGGCGCCGCCCAGAGGCCGCGATAAAAAATACGCGCTGAGCGGCAAGCGTAAACACGCGCCCCTCTCGCATGACGCCTCATTAGCCACTCCCCTGTGCCTCTATAAATCATTTTAAATTCAAATTCTACTTACTTTCAGAATTGACTTTGCTTACCTAATTCCCTTCCCGACCACAAAATTTTGCAAATTAGATTTCACCTTTCCCTCGCTCTGACTTGTCGAAAAATTATTTGTGGCATCCGGCGCCGGATCTTAGTCTGCTCGTGATCATGTTGCCTACCTCTATTACTCGGTGACTATAGCACCTTTTAATTCCCTCTTTCCTTTGAGACAGCCGACTACGTAATCTATCTGGCCCTCCCTTTCATTCATGCACTTTTTTCAATGTCACCGTGTCTTCAGAGTACTCTAAATATGTGGAAAGTTATTGAGCGCTTATTCAATTTAAGTACCTGGCAAATAAATAATCTGAGAACGTCTATCAACGTACCAACGTTATGAAAATAAATTTTCTGTTTCCAATTTGGAGAGCTATCTAAATCTGGACGATTCTGTACAATTAATTCTATTTAAAGTCTCCACTGACACACAAGCATAAAGCAAGGCTAATCACAAATAGTAGATTAAAATCAATTTAAAGTTGTGTCCGTACCTGTATGTGTGGGCCACGTGTCGCGTGCGCTTCGTGCCTACTCGATGCAGGAGCTGGCACGACTCATCGGCCGGTTCTATTTCCGTCTGTCCCCAAATATTTCTGGCACACACTTGGTGCGTACAAGTGGACTCCGAGCTGTTTCGCGACGAGAGTGTGTCATTCATCGGCACGTTGCCTCATTGTTTTCCTCGTGTGTCAATATATCCCGACGCGTGTCGCTCGCCCAATAGTAAAATAGATGAGTATAGATCGGCATGTGCGTACGGCTGACCACGCATCGTCGCGCGTCGACGCCGTGTCACCGATACATCAATCGTGATCGAACGTTCTAATCGATTAACGACCGCACGCCTCGTCTGATGTGTGCATTCTTCATGTCCTGTTTGGCTGATTGCTGTTTTGATTAAAACGTTTATGTTGATTTCTTTCTGATGCAATAAATAAAATTTATTTTGGTCTTTTGCATTTTTGATGTGCCTTTTACGAGAAGCTTTGAATGAACAAAAGTTTTAGTATTTAAAAACTATAATATAAGTAGGTTTACACCACACACAAACTAGGTAGTGTGCAAACACATCACAGACAATGCCGATGAGGTCATTTGTGTCTTCCCTAATGAGTGGTGAGGCTGGCACACTGAAGATATTCAGTAGTAAGTAAACTCGTGATATAGTTTTCGGTCTTGAAAATGGAAGAGGTGGCATTTGGCAGCGGCTGGCGCGATGGAGTAACAAGGTGTGGCGCGTGCCGACTACCGGCGGACGCCGTTACTTTCGAGGGTTGTTCGTTATACACGTCATAGTTCCCGAGAGCACTCCGCCGCCTTACTGCTCTCACCTTAACGAGACAAACGTCTCGCTTCATTGACGTCGTTTTCGCTTTAATCGGGCACCAGTGCCAAGTCACGGTGAGATATACTCATCTCCGAAGTCGTGTCCTTTGCTTTCTATATTCGGCACATTGCTTTCTCATCGAACACAGTTTCTTTATCTCTTGGATCCCAAAGCAGTGATGAAACTGACTCTCGACTAACCCCTTATTGTATTGCAAGTGCGCATTGTTGTGTTATAAAGGACACGGAGAGGGTAGCGCGCTCGGTTTGCTCCTCCACTATCACACAAAAATGTTATTAGTTTTGGGAGGTTATTGCCCACCCTGCGCTCGTACGACCCTCCCGATGCCCTTCCCGAACAAATAGGCCATATTGAAAGTTTTTGTTTAATTTTCTGGATTTCATATAAGCAATCTTACGTTAAAGTGCGCATTGTAGCTTTATTTAGGCAGTTTTTCTCATTAGGTGTATGTAATATACCTATATTATGAGTTACATATAGGTGAACGTAAATAGTTACAACTATGTACATTCTAGTTTTATTTAAAGCAATGTAGCATACAGTTAAAGCTTAAAATAAAAGCTCGTGAATGAACAAAAGGCATGTTAAACGAACAAATGTAGAGGCATAGTGATCGAAGAGCAATTAATGTGTCGTAATGCGTTTGGCAAGCGAGCGTGGCGCGGTCATCCGTCTGAGGTGGCCGGCCATTTGTATCCGCGCAGGCATCCGTCACGCTAATCGCCGTGCCGATACACCTGCAGCGGCATTATTTCTATGTAACCCTATCCAAATTTTACGGGATTTAGTTATTGGTATTGTATAACTATTTTCTAAATCGAAATACATACATAGCTAATCATGAGAACATTAAAATTAATTCAACCAATACGAATGCAGCTGAATGGTCCCAACAATAAACTTATCTCCAACGTTTCCCAAACTGTAGCAGCTAATAAATAGAAGTTTGATAAACCTAACAGAGTTATCACAGTAATGATGAAACGTGATCACCCATTCAAGTTTCACAAACGGGTTGGTTCGAATCGAAACTCGGCTAAAGTAGACGGCACGGAGTAACAGGAAATAATAACTTTATCCCGAGCTTAAACTGTGAGAGGACCGTCCAACTAACATTATGCCTGCCAGTAACAAGTTAATCTAAATGCAGCCGACTGCTTCCACTAGCTAGTTGTAGCACGCATCGTCGAAGTTTAATAACTGAGAAAATTCGGAACATGTCTGCATCTGATTCAGCTGCAGCCAAAGATTCACACTTCACGATGTTTGCTCGCGATACCCTGTATCTAGTTACGTAGATGTCTGCAGGATAGTGATATCATCGGCCATGATTTGAAAAAGTTACTCACTAAATCACCCCAAAGCAGTTCCGTGGACATTATCAGCAAGGGAAACCCTAGTGAAGTACTGAATATTCAGATGGCGTTTGTTTGTATACGTATTTCTTTGAAACTGCGATAAGCGCTTTCCGTTTTTTTACTGAATAAAATATGGCGCAGGAGGCTCGGCTTGCGACGATAAAACGTCCGCGAAGCTCTTCCCGTCACGTAGTGCGACAGTTAATTACACGGATGTAAATAAATCATCATAGACGGGTGCGGCGGAGGGCTTCGATTCCGAAAGGCAATTATCTCGCGCCTCATTGACGTCGAAAATGAGCGGAGTGAGGAGCGCGGCCGCCCCCAACGCGCCTCAGAAATATTTGACACCGCCTAAGACGCGGTTATAAGGAAAAATCGAGTGGAGGATTTCTGGTGGCTACGTGCCCGGCTCACGGCAATTGTGATGCATGGAGGGATTTCCGCACATTGGGCCGATATTGAGCCGAAACCGCGGTCGCCCACCGCTCTGCTACACATATTGCTTATCGGAATGATATCGAATGAGGTCCGCCATTTACGTCTTTTCTCAAAGCCCTGAAATGTCGGTTACCTGGGGAGTATACCTCTCATATCTATTGCATTTTCCATTTATGTGCCATAATAGTGTCGTTGTCGCCCTCTTATGTGAACGTAACCAAACATTCCGGTACAGATAGCAATCGATGGGGTGAAAAACCTTATTAGCAACAACTGTTTATGCTGTTGCCGCACGAAGGCTTTATTTAAATTTTTAATCAATGAGCTGTATCTAATTGTAAATATTTGTCATTTCCAGGGTCGGTGTAACCGCGAGAAACCACCTTGCAAGTACTTCCATCCACCCCAACATCTGAAAGATCAGTTGCTAATCAACGGCAGGAATCATCTAGCACTGAAGAACGCACTAATGCAGCAGATGGGCCTGACGCCCGGCCAGGTGCTGCCTGGCCAAGTCCCCGCTGTGGTGAGTCACCCAAGCTACGCTCCCTCCTACTACTACCGAAGCTTCGAGCGATCGGACCTCCACACTAATGTAGGTATTCTATGCACGCAACACGCAGCTTTCGGTGTTATCCGCTATTTTGTATCTTATAAGCGTTCTTACTATTGAAACACGTAGACTTAATAAAGTATCGTGTTTAAGTTGTGCCTCGTTTATGTACCTACACGTAACTAGTTAGATACATATCAAATACTAAGTTACACATGGACTCTGCGCATTGAAAATATTTTCATCCGTAAGTAAATTAACTCGATTCCCTCGTAAAGTTTTCTCAGAAAACTTAATCATGTGCACGTTGAAAGTTAATGGTAATTTACTTTCTTCAAGGCGGCACAGCCGTTCCTGCAACTAGTTCCGCGCTTTAATTTAAAGTTTCGCTTCGAGTGCGTGAACCTGCTAAACAAAGTCAGTAGTAATCTGTGTATTTATTTTAGAATATAGATACCTACCTAGTCTAATTTGCGGGCACAACTTAAACTTTGCCGCCCGAGGCCGATCGCTCCCCACTGCTTGAGCATGTTTGTACGAATCGTTCCTTAAATGGCATGACTATTCTCCAAACTTACTCACACGTGTATGATCTGGGTATAAGCGGTAATGCAGATTTAATCACCGGACATCGTCCTCCTCACTATTCACTCTGTCGCTAACTATGCGGCCCGACACACTCCTCGACCTTCCTCTTCGCACTGCCTGCCGCCGCGCGCCGTGCGCTTACCGCATCCGTAGTTATCGTTGATATCTCTCGCATCTCGTAGTAGAAGATCGCAAGTGTCTCGTGGTGTTAGGGATCTGCCGAAGGTCGGTGCGAAGAGTGAGGTGGAGGTGATGTGCAGTCCTGGCCTCGCACGATGAGTAGCGTGTTTGTGTGGTTGTTTGAGGTGGGCGGCGTGGGCGGTGCGGGCGCGGCTGCCAGCCACCTCGCCGCGCTGGACCCGATCAGTCTGGCGTTGCTCGCCCCGCAGGTAACTGCCGCCGCCGCCAAGCGTGACGCACTACCGCCGGCCGCCTCGCCTCCAGCGCCTCTTATCCTTTACACGTGATAGAATACACCTACAGCACCATAATGCACTGTTAACCTAGGATTTTGACCCTTTTTGCATCCTTTCCTGGTTCACCCTTCCTTTTGTCTTCTGGTGGCCGGTGGGTAGCTAGACTGGATAAACCGTATGCTTCTTTAATATTTCTATTTGTTTCTTTATGATGCATGTGATGGCTTGTTTGGCTAACAGATTTCTGGTTAAATAAATCTATTTGTTTTCGATGTTTGTAGGTGTATAGCAGCTTTTGTAAATGTTGTATTCAATGCAAGCATACATTGGGCTTCCTAAACGAACTAATTGTTTAAAATGTATTCTAGCAAAATATAACATAAGATATGGACATGGTGTAGTGTCGAGTACGCAAATGTACAAGTATACTGAGTGTTAGTGTTGGTGTGGTGTGCAGGCGACGTCACCGTACCTGTCGGGCGTGCCGGGCGTGGGCTCGACGTACGCGCAGTATTACGCGCCGCAGTTGGTGCCGGCGGTGCTGGGCCACGACCCCGCCGCAGCCGCCGCCTCGCCGCTCGGCGTCATGCAGCAACCCGTGCTGCAGCAGAAGCTGCCGCGCACCGACCGCTTAGAGGTAAGCATACCTTACAATATCACTCAACTCACTGTCAACACTCGAGTAGTGCTTCCCCATGTTGCCACATATGCCGGGGACCGACCGACATTTATATTATACTGTGTAATATTACTATATGTATTTCTCATTTGAATGTAACTGTATTGTTAGGTGCAATAAAGAATGTCGGTCCCCGTAGCAAATCTGGGCTGATATTGCCGTATGCCCGTCCCCGTGTGTCTGTGGCGCGCGGGCGCACTGACCCGGTGCGCCTGCGTCTGCTTCGCGAGCAGCACTCGCTTACTCCCTCTGGTGAAGGACCTACACTGTTGGCACAAACTCGGCCTATGTTGAGCACGCTCATATCTGCATATAGGTGTGTAGTCGAGCCATTATTTCGCACCGACTAATTAAGTGTCGATTTGCGCTTACAGTGTAGTCGTGCCGAACGCTTCACTTTCGTTATTGGACAACTGTAGGCAAAAGATTTAGGGATTAAAAGCTAAATTATCTTTCTCGACCAAAACTAATTTCAAGATGCGACGGATGCGTAAATCGTTAGATTCGAAAGTATAACAACCGATTCGATGAAAAGTATCAGAAAGCGGCGTCGGGTCGAGGTCAATGATACAAATAAATTGTATGATATGACTAAAAAGATGATATTGCCACACATAGACATAGTTTACGCGTTACCTATATCAGAGTCGCGGTCGCGTCTTAGTAAAGTATTCGCAAGACACGTGAGGCATTGCTAAGAAGTGGTCGCATCGCGTGGTGTCGCGTGGCGCGCAGACGTGAGTGTAGGCAGAGGGTAGATGAGCGCGGGGCGCGAGCGGCGGACATGGCTGGTGTGTGGTGGTGCAGGTGTGCCGGGAGTTCCAGCGCGGCGCGTGCAAGCGCGCCGAGACCGAGTGTCGCTTCGCGCACCCGTCGCCGCCCGTGGCCGCGCACGACGACGGCTGTGTCACGGTGTGCATGGACGCCGTCAAGGGCCGCTGCGTCCGCGACCCCTGCCGCTATTTCCACCCTCCCCTGCACCTGCAGGCGCACCTTAAGGCGCAGGCGCGCGGCGCGGTACGCCACCAGGCTGCACGCTCTCGCCTCGCTCGCTCGCGCTCGCTTCTGTTCTTCCGCTTGGTCTCGCTCGCCGCGACGCCGCTTACGTTCGCAGAGCTTTGTTCTGTTCAGTTCGCGCCGGCTCGCGCCACGCTTCCGTCGCACTCACGCTTCACTTTTATTTTATTTTTATCTATCGCATAATATCACCTTACGCCGAGCTTTAGGTGTATTCTGTGCATCTACTACATCGTTATTGTTTCTGTCCCGTCCTGCGACGCTTCGCTTCACGTAGACGGCCGCCGCAGCCCAGCAGCCGACAGCGAGCGCGACTTCGGAGCCGGGCAAGAAGCGGCCGGCGCCCACCGAGCTCGAGCCGCCACCGGTACAACGCCAGCTTTGCACGCTTCTCCTCCGCTCCCAGTCCCGCCCGCACGATCCCTCCGCGCGCCTCTCCCTCCCGCAGCGGGCAGGCGGCGGCGCGGCGCGACGGACCACCCCCGCCCCTCGCGCCCCGCCGCCCTCCGCCCGCACCGAGCCATCCGCCCGGAGCCCCCGTTCAACCGTCTGTTTCTCGTTTCAGATGGACATGAAAAGCGTCGGATCCTTCTACTACGATAACTTCGTAAGTATAACACGATGGTAACTCTTTCATTTTTGAACCAGAAACTTGTCACACGTTTCTCACATCACATTTTACTTTTCACAGGCCTTTCCCGGCGTGGTGCCGTACAAACGACCCGCCGCAGACAAAGCTGGTGTACCCGTGTACCAGCCGGCGACGACCTATCAGCAGCTGATGCAGCTTCAGCAGCCGTTCGTGCCCGTATCATGTGAGTACCCCGCACCCGCCACGTCCGCCCCGCCGACCGCGAGTGTCCCGTCCAGTGCCGCGCCGCCGCCGTCCGCGGCCGCATCCGCGCCTTCCGCCGCGGCGCCCACTCCGCAGCCGCCCGCCCCGGCGCCGCCGGCTCCCTCTCCGCCCGCCGACCCAGGCACGCCAGACCCCGCCGCAATGGCTAAAGAGGTGGCACAGAAGAACTACGTGGCCGCGCTAGCATTCGCAGCGCAGCATTCTGCCATGGCCCAGGCGGCGGCGGCCTACACGCAACAGGCGCTGAAGGCGCAAGCGCGCGCCGGCATGCAGCACGCGGGACTAGTGCGCGCGCCACACATGATGGTGCGGCCGGGCTGGGCGCCGCCCATGCCGGTGCCGTACTACCAGCAGCCCTTCATGTACGCCGTGCCGCCACCCGCCCCGCCCAGCGCGGCGGCGGCGGCGGCTGCGGCGGCGGCGGCCGTCAACCCCTACAAAAAGATGAAGACCACATAGAGATCGCGCGGTCGGCGGGGCGCGGGGCGCGGGGTCTCCGCGTAGAGACTCGTACTGTGCGGCCGAGTGTCGCCCCGGCCTGTCGGGGCAGTTAGCGCTAGGCGTGTTGTCACATTTGTATTGTATTATTGTAAGGACGAAGCGAGCGGCGTCGCCCTCGCGGATGTCTCGGTAGTTTTACGCTATATATATATACTACTGTATCTCTACTCACTTACCGTTATTACCCTATGCGTGTATATTTCTCGTATCTACGATCCCGGTAATAATAACGCTTGAGATGCATGACTGTACGTTTTTTTATTACCTCTTGTCGATCGTCGTTTATCGTGAATACCTATCGTCGTACTGAGAGTTGAGCGCTTGGTCCGTCGATCCCGCTACGTACACGCTTGTTCTCGAAGGAGCTCCGCACGGGTGCGCTTTGGCCGATGTGTCGCTCCCGTACCTACTAGTGGTTACCGGCTTGCAGCAGCAGGCCCGCACCTAACACAGCCGCCTTCTAATTTTCGCATGGAATAGAATCCACCACCCCTATACGTTTGGCTCATCAGGTATTATTCTCATTATTCTAGTGGCTCCCGTGTGCGCTAAGTGTGGCGAGTTCATCAGTAGTGGCGCGGGGGCGGCGTGCGTCGCCCCCGCAGTTTTTGTTTCAATCGCACCTCCTTCTATTTATTTTAAACGCTTTCTGTTACATGCCTTCCGAATGACGCTTCGGCTGTCGTCCGCATTGCAATCTTTTGTCGCTTTTTGTGTCGGGCGTCAGGCTGTGCGCCCCCGAACGCGCCCTACGTGGTGTACACCGACGAGCGCGGACAGGTAACGAGTGCCGCACCGCCGCACTCCCGCGCACTCCCCGCGCACTCCCGCGAACTCCCCGCGCACTCCCGCGCATTCCACGCTCATTCCGCGCTCACTCCGACGCTGCCGCTTTGTTGTATTACTGCGCGTCATTACACCACACTCTAGTAAAACAACAACTACTCACATATTCTCTATCAAACTGAATATCAGCAGCAGTTCTAAGGCTGCTTAATTATTGTTTGCAACACCCTGTTTCAATTTAAAGTCTATGTAATTTTAACATCTACATGTCTGATTTAGTTGTAAACGTCCAATAACGTTGCCTTTGCTATTCTGTGGTGTCTTCCCGTTCTGTATTCAGCAAAGTGTCGTGTGAATTGAGCTCAACGCTAACACATTAATAGATTAGACGCAAGCCCTCCACGGCACAAACCCTGCGCTACCCCGCGCTGTACCTCGCAGTGTCCCGCTATCCCTCGCAGTCCCTCGCAGTCCCAGCTCACGACCAACATGCCTCGCTCTAACCAGTACGCTACCAAACGCATATCACCTCCTACACCTCTGCGTTTACTGCTTATTATGTTTTGTTCAGAAGCTCGAAGTCAATTTATTAATTACTCAGTGTTTTGAAAGTAAATCCTGCTAACTGATTTGTTTTTGTAATTGTGTGTTATCGTAAAATGTTATTGGCCTAACATTAATTAGTACAGATTAAATGACAATATACATTTATCACACAAATAATCTAAATTTTTGATATCCTTGTTACACAAGCCTATAGTACCATGTATAATTTAACAAATGAAAGAAGTAAATCAAGCAACTTTGAGTCCGCATATATGTTCAGAGCTTGCTTCTTCATTCGGCTTCAGTAGAAGTACTGTTTTAGTTTTAGTTTGTGGCGCTTCACGCGGGCTTAGTAGGCTAAACACTCGCTTGATAACAACGAACCACGAAAGTCACACGATCACCACACTACAGCGGGATATGGTGCGCTTGGTGAGCTTGTTCTATTAAACCTGACGACACGCGTCGAACGAAGACTATGTGGATCACGAGTTAATGTCGTCACCATACTAGCATCGTCTGCTCTGACGGTACCTTTCCTTCCTGCCGACACAGGTGGCAGGCAGGCCGCGTATCTATTCGGTGACCTCTTGATATATCCGGCACTACAGTACAGTGGAGGTACGAGGACTCGACCGACCGCCACTGGCCGCCACCGACGGTCGCCGACTGGTGGCGTCGCTTGTCAACCGTCTCATGATAATGTTTCTTTGTCATCATCACACCATCTAGTCATTGTGCTGTAACTGTATCGATATATATTGTAATGAACAGTTGATGCTACAACTTACTTGTTGATGATTTTTAGTTTTGTATAGTGAGACATACTTGCTTTCAAATGTGGAAGAAGTCACTCTACAGTATTGCCTTGCTTACACCCGGTAAGATACAATCAGCTTACTATAATATCCTCAGTATAAGTTATTTCCTGTTTGCAGCCTATACTGAAACACGCCGCTTGTCACTCGCATGGAGTTGCAAATAATAATAACTTGGCTCTCTTTTCTTAAACTTGCTTCTAAAACTAATGAACTCGGCAGTTTCAGTAAAGGTCACTTTAATTATTGAAATTTAACGAAGCCATTTTATATACCACTAAACAGTTGGCCTTTTCAATAATGTACTCACACTTGCCTAATTTACATGTAAATAATAAGTTTAATATTATTAAAATGCTTAGTCAACTGTTTAGTTCTAATTGAGTTCACCTTTTGGCCAATATCAACTATCAACTGCTAATAAGGGGGTTTTTACACTCATTTAAATGCTTTTTGTAAACAGTTATTTTTACGCGTAGTTGGTAGTTGAAGTGACGATGGTGAAATAAGAAAACTCGAAGTGATATTATGACATAGTTTATAGAGTATATATTGTAAGTGTAGGGTACAGTATTTCTGTAGTCCTGTAGTAATTCATTCGTAATGTAATTGTACGCCATCACTTCGAATTTTCTGTGATAATGCTTAAAATGCTTCGCCGTTGCGGCTTCAATTCCTCGCTTACGACTTGTTGAGGCCTCTCTGACGCTTGTTAAAGTGTTCACGTAGATGTAATAATATACTTGGTTTTCTTTTGTTTGTCGTACAGTAACCGCACTCTCTAATGGTCATTATGTTGCAGTTTGTACTACCACTAACATGTCACGTCCAGAACTGTCATGTAAGCTAAAGGTATAAATTTAATTTGTCTATTTACATTATAACCATGGCAACCTACCGATAAGCATGACGTCCTCTGTTCCTCTACTGAGAACACCGGGAGATCTAAATTCATCACAGCCGACGCAGACCTCTCCACACACAGCCTCTTTTAGCTTTATATAGCAACAGTTGGTATTTATGGGTACACTTTGGACGCTACAAAACCTCTAGTACGCCCTCGCCCTGGTAAAAGTTGTCTAGCATCATGCTTAAGCTTTTTTGTAAAATATAGTCACGCTTAAATAAGATTGGCTGCGCAATAATGATTATACTTCAAGCGTTCTGCATGCCATTTAGATATTATATATTCATACCTATGTGCATAGTGCAGCGTACTTAACACTACTCTCTGACGGTTATGGAAGCTCGTTCACGAGAATAACTCCAGCAGTGGGCTCTAATTTACTATTCTCTTTAATGTTGCATACTATTACCTCAACAGTACTACAATATAAAGGTGACACACATAATATACAGCGCGCACGTAAATAAATCAAAGAATGCTTGGAAGATCCAATCATATTGTGCAACGAATCTTGTAAAGTTCTTGTAATATTGAAGCAGCAACAAGATTTGATTTCGAGCAATTTTCGCCTTCCGTGTGTCCCGTTTTGTGTTAATTTTATGTAGCGACTGAGAAACTACACACGCATACTTTCCTTCCATACGAATATATATTGACGACATGTCTCATCCGACCGACACGAGTAGGGAACCTTAATTCAATACAATGTGATAGGTGTAGTCAAACGATCATTACTGTCATTTGCTCTTTGATATTACAAAAACTATTTCAGCGTTATTTTTCAGACGGCTGTGCAATGAGGATAATAATCAGTGTCAGATGTATGAATGTCCAATCAGTGATGAAATAGAATTTAGAATTAACACTATTAACATAATAAGTTCATAAACCGTCGGTTCCATGTCTCTTACACTCTTACATATTGACACTAACTTTTTTAAGAGTAGCTTGTATTTGATCTTTTGTACTTATATCGACTGTTTATGAAGTAGATTATAGTTATAAGAAGCATACAGACTGTTGTTCCACAATGCGAATTTGACTCTTGGTGTACCTGAACCCGAATAGTGGTTTTGTTATGGAATTGATGTCTATCATTAAGAAGAAAAGGCTCTAAAAGTATATTTACTTTCTCCATATTTAAGCAAACGAAATTGCAAAAGTTTTACAACGAAAAAGTCAACGAATTATTTTATGAACATTGCCAATGTGCTGAGAAATGGTGAGCCTAAGTTACATTAGACTAATTACGTATCTAATTAATATGTACCAAAGAGAAGAGCAAGCATTGTGGAAGCGGCTGGACTGTATGAATATTGAAATTGAGTAACGACAATAATACTAATGAAGGTGTTGTTATATTTGCAGTTACTGGACACCCTCCCGGTGTGCCAAGATTTTAATCGACAAGGATGTACAAGACCTACCTGCAGATTTGTTCATATTCGTGAAGGTGAGGACCAGTTTCAATTTCTCATTCATTCTCTAGTAACTCTCATTCTAGCAAGACAGTCGAGTCAAAGTCATTCTTATATTTGTTAAAATTGTTACTAATCAATTGACAGAAATGTGTCAAACGTTTCAGATCATCGATAGAACAGTCCCCTCTCCCTTCTCCTTGTATATCTGCATGTTCACCACATTTTGTTGTTTCATTCATAGCGTAGTTTTACTATCTTTGACAGTAGAAGACTATCCGTAGACTGAACTACATTTAATCAACTTAGTTTAGATATTTGTTGGTTGGGTACATTATAACTGTATTGTACCAGTTTTTCAAGATTAGTTCAGTTAGACTAGTTCTCAATAGTTTTAGTATTGCTTGTCTATTCATATACTCTGTAGATTTTATACATCAATCTATAATATGCACTAATTTTCATGTAGTATGGTTTTACTAAAACCATATAGTCAACTTAGATTAGTAAACTCTTAACACTATCCATTGTTGTCCCCATTATGATGTGTCTCTTGTGATGATGAGGAGTTTGTGTCGTATGGCGTACTGAAGCGGCGTGGCGTGTGTTGCAGGGTGCGGGCTGCAGGTGGTGGGGTGTCGCGTGGTGGTGTGTCGCGACGCCGCGGCCGGCACGTGTCGCCGCGCCGCCTGCCGCTACTACCACATCCCCGTACAGCTGCCGCCAGCGCTGCGCCCCCCCTAACCTGCCCCCCCGCCACCCGTCCACCGCCGCACCCGAGCCCTCATCCCTCCTCCCCCTCCCTCACCCCTCCACCTCCACCTCCACGTGATCCGACCCATCCCCGCATCGCCCGCGCCCCGCGTTATCCATATCGATCGCGCCTCTGGCACACTCGGGAAAGGCAGGTTCGGCAAGTATCCTACTGTCGCTCCCGCGGCTGAGGTGGTGATATCTTAGTGAATATCGGTTAGTGTAGAGCGGCCGGGGCGGGCCGCGTGCGCAGTTAGCGCCGGCGCCCCGCCCCCGTCTGGAGAGCGTTATAGTCTTCGGGAAGAGTGTGTACATAAGTAGCGGGATATGATTCTCAGGCACGGTCATACGATTGTGATATGAATAGATTTCGAGACGCCGGAGCCGTTTGAGTAATTTTATCGAGATCGTACCGAGATCGTCGAATAGTAGTTAGTGAGGTTTCAAATGTTTTATTACTATTGTATATTATTTTTTTTAAGATACGATATGAGTTCCTGTAAAGATCAGTGTGGTCGCCATCGGGCGCTGCACGTAAACTTTGTTGTATATAAGCAAGCGGTGTAATGTTTATGGGTGGTGCGGAGCGCACCGTCGCCGCCGGCGCCGGTCCGTTCGCGGCCGGCGGCCGATGCCGGTGTCAAAAGTTGCATCACCCCACTCCTAACGTGAGCATTTTTGTGAGAATTATGTTACTTTTTTACGTATGTTATAAAATTATTTTTTTCTAGATGACAAGTTTTACACTAGATTAGATTAAGTGAGTCAGTAATGAAACACCAATAGAGTAGCCGCTTCTCTCCCTCGGCACTGAAACTTTTGACGCCGGAGCACAACTCGCGCGACTGGTGCCGCGCGCTCGCTCGCTGCGACTAGTCGGTACGTCGTTCTTCCCTTATGGAGCCATCCCGTTCGCACCACATCCCACGTCCCACGACGCGCGTGCGTCGTCCAGTTCACACTTTAGCATAGATCGCGACACTCGTAGAGTGATAGAGGACAGAAATTCATAATACAATGAACGTTATCGGACAATATTAAACGAAGAAGGCATACTTCCAAGCTATTTACCTAAATTCTAGGATAGAACGTCGGCTTTTATTCCAGATAGATTTTGCTAGATAATCATTCTTTTACCGGTCGATTCCCGTCTATCGATGCACAAAATATTACCGACGATCGAGTCCGATTACCTCTCGGTGATGACAGCATAAAGAAATAGCTACCTATATTGTTTTCAACACAACAGTATTAACGTTTTGATCAAATTTATCTCGTCGTATGTATGTAGAGGTGATATGCGGATAGAGAGAGAGGCGGGTGCGCGCGCGCCGAGTCGCGTGTGTCGCTCGAGTCGCTAGTGTCGCTCGCGGCCAGTATACTGTATAGAGTCGCAGTGTCGCACGCACGACGCGGCCGGCGCGCGCGTCCCGAAGGCATGGAAGCCTAATGCCTAATATTATTCCTAGTCCATATCCTTTTTGTTGATCAGTCATGCGATTAATGTTAGAATAAATATTAATAATTTGATTTATTCCTCCCATTTAGTGGATATTTTGATAATGATATATTAATAATGAAATATTTAAGATACATAATACATATTTGATTCTAAATCCTGATAAAGTGACACTACGTTAGTAATTTAGTCGGAGGGATACTTGTGCCGTGATTATATTTTTAGGTATATATTATGAGATAATTCCTAGCGTCGGAATTAAACAAGTGATTAATGTGTAAGCGTGTTATATTTATTGTCGTAACGTAAGTGGAATGCCATATCGATAAAAGGTGAATATCGGATGCGGAGTCAAACTCATTAGTAACTCGTTGCGTTTGTGTTTATGTTGATTGTTATTATCAGTCCCGTGCTAGTGGCTAAGTGAACAGTTCACTTTTATCAATACGGCACTATGAGTCTTAAATATATAAGTTGTCATATTATTTTTTGTTAAAATTTATCGTTTCATGATTTATTTGTTGCCTATAATTTTTATAATCAAAATTTTATGATCTGACGCATTTATTGTAAGACAATCGATTACTTTTATAATTAATTAGTGTGATAATAATAATTATGGTATCAAATTGCCGTTATGAAATATAGAACATCGAAAGTATCCTTCCTGTTTAGAAGGGACTCTTCTGGCCCAAGGTTTCTAGTGGATTTTATATTTTTCTTTTGTTGTATTTTTAATGTTGCGTGTGTCTTACACATAATATATTTCATTTTTGTGATATTTTTAACTATAAAGTACTGTTATTATAAATCCAAATGGAATAATGATGACCTAATTAATATTCAAGAATTTATTTGTAAATCACAAAAAAAAATGTAAAACTGTAAATATATTGACAAAAAAATGAACTGCAACACAATAATTGATTATTATATCTCTCATCAAATACACTGTAAGTTGTTTGAGTACCTAAGTAATGGTATCTTATTATGTAGTATGTACCTACAATCTACTTATTGTAAACCGGTCCAGTGAACAAAGTATTGATAATATTGTGAACATTTTTTTATTCACGAACAATCACAGAAAGTACATGACATTGTAATATTATTTATGAAATTACTATGTGATGTGATCTTCGGATCAATTTTGAGTACAGTATAGATAATAAACAACTGAATATGTGATTTATGTCTTTTATTAATTATATGTTTAATTACCTACCTATTACCTATCCCAGACAGAAAAAGCAGAACTAAAATAATTGTTCTAATTTCAACTCTATGCCATGGACATATAAAGCTTAACCCTTTAACCGCCAAGATTCTGAACTTTCAACTTACCTCCAGCGCCACGTCACTTTAGGTATAAGTTGGAACAGTGTTGGGAACACTTAATATCGATGCATATATTCTTTATTAATTAAAATCAATGTTTTATTTACCTACTTAATAAATAATCTAAAAATTGTCAATCTTCAAACGAAGTATACGAAAATGTGTATTCGGGAAATGGGCACGGCATCATCCGTTCTCCTGCTGGCGACGGTGACGATGCTCCACGAGCATGTCGTATTAAATTTAATAATTTCATGTAAACTTCTGAGCGGATTTCCGACAGTACGGTTTCCAGCTCAAAAGGTTTTAAAGATGCAAAGTATTCATTTCGTGGATCACTTGGTCTCTGATCAAAAACTTTTGCGTCACCATCTTCTAACTTTGCATAATGTCGCGGAGAACCTAACGGGTAACCGGGGCTCCGGCTCGACGTGCAGGAGAAGGAACGGGGTGGTTTTTAGTCAGTAAGAGCAGTGCCGGATTAAGCCAGCGCGGGGCCTGTAGCAAATTCTGTCTAGGGGCCCTTGGTTTGCTATCGGTTCTCATTTGGGCATTGACTAAATTTGGTGCCTTTCTTTTTTCTAGCGTCAGTCGATGATTTATGGAAGATATTGTCTGGAATGATATCACAAACGAAATTGTCCCCATATACATATATGAAAGTGAGCCCATAGGGCTCATGTATGGAAATCTCAGTCTGGACTGAGTTATGAGCGTTGAAAGGAGCTGAAGTCAAACATTTTACTTTGGTTTTTTTTATTCAAATCTTATATCTTATACCATTATCTTATATACTATTATATAAAGCGGAAGAGTTTGTTTGTTTGTTTGTTTG